CCCTTTTGTTTGGAAACAATCCAGTGCCCCTTTAGATTACAAAGACTAGAGAGCACTCCCACTGCTTGTAAGGAAGTAAAAATGGACTGTCTCATTAGGATTGAAAGAGAGGGATCGCAGCAACTTCTATATCTGTCTGACTTGAACTTGACTTTTACTGAATCAGAGCATATGTCCAGAGACCCAAAAGAGGGTACCCTGTGTCCGGTAAGAGAAAAACATAATACAAGTCAATCTGTTGTCTGTTGTGCTTTCTTCAAGGGCCCCAAATTTGCCAGCCAACTTTTTTTTATTGTTCATCATTCACTTGCCAATGTGACAAAACTGAGACTTTTATAGCAAATTAGGACTGTCTTTATATACTGTCGCTAGGTATTCGCAGTTCAGTTCTGTTAATTACTGTTAGCCAGAATACTGCAGGTGTTAAACCATATCTCTTAAAGTAATATTATTTTCCTATCGATATATTGTGTAAGTACACTTGCTAATCCTCGCTTCTTTTTAGGCTTTGGCCTAATGCATTCTTTGAAATATCTCAAGGTGTGTTGGTAAGTGCTGGGTGAGTGAGGTGAGTCATCTGCACATGTGCAGAGACATCACAAAACAGTTCAGGGTTCCTCTAGAAGTAGTGCTACACCTACATACAGCAAAATCACTAGTCGTGTATGCTCCCACATCCCTAATACTGCAGGTAGCATACCTAAAATAAAACTGTGATTTTCTCTCATGCTTTTTGGACTTTTTGTCGTTTGTTAGCTATTCGCTAATATCATGCAGAAACAAAACTGCACAAAAAATTATAAAAATACCTTAAGCTCTTACTATGGTCAACACTATATAAGTATATCAATAAGGTAGTCGCTGCGCCGATCGTAACTACGTCGTGACGTCATCCGGGAAGAGATTCAGATGACGTCCTGACGTAGTTACGATCGGCGCAGTGGTACTTAGAGATATAAACTGCTCCAGGACTCTTCTGACTGTAAGGCAATTGTTTACCACTTACAGGGCCCACTATTGCCTATTTAAGTGTTCTTGCATGGCAAGACCACATACTGTTATCTCACATATATATTCTTATTATTATAGCCAAATTTACCACCCTAACTCCTCCCACAGTTTTTACACTACATAGACAGTAATATACCGAAACGTGCGGATTGTTCCCGATTGGTGTGCTATTACTTTGTGGAATGTTTCGCCGAATGGTTCACAAAATATCACCATTTTTGTGGTGAAATTGGTCCCATAGGAATGAATGGCCCAATGTTCAAAACTAGAATGGGAGCTGACAAAAGCTAGAGTGTGAGATGAAAAATCAGGACATGATTTCTATACTGCCATCACTCCCTCATTTTCAAGCCCACCTATACAAATCTTATATCAAAACATTCAGCTATCCCTGCTGTCAATAAAAATGTCCACGGCTAAGCCATAGTCCTGATAGTTTTCACAATATGACCATTTGTTTGCAACTCACGCCGCCCATTGACATTCATTGAAACTCTACTCTAGACACCTGAAATGTGAAGGGCAATTTCTAAACTGCGACTGTGCCTTCATTTTTAATATTTCAGAGACATACTATGCATCAAAAAGTAGGTCTGGGTCCTGTGATTCTCACAATATAAAGCTCTTCACTGTCGGATTTACAATTTTTAAACTACAACTGTTTGAAGATGGCAACCGCCAGTGAAGTGAGCAAGTTGGAGCAGTTTGTTTTTAACCGCTCTTCTCTGCCGTTGCTGTAGAGTGAGTTGCCATAGGAACCCAGGTGTGTGAGCAGGCAGCAGAGTGACAAGCCACTCCACCCACTTACTCCACCCACTCCAGTTGTAGACTACTGGTGGAGGCAAGAACATGTCACACAATTTCCCTAGAAATTGTAGCTTTTCTAGTATTATATAGTCTTTGATTGGCTGGAGCTTCTATTTGATGTACTGACTGTGCCGATGGGGACTATACTGCCATCTGGTGTCTGAGGAGTTCTTAAGTGGATGCTTTCATACTTGGTGTGCTTTGCACCTATTAATTGTAAGTGCATTAGTTTATCATTGTGCAAATAAAGGTTTTAAAAGGATAAAGCACTATGTTTAGTTTTTGTTTATGAGATCCAAGGTGTCAGTTGAAGTAAGCATTTTGGAGCCACTATTCAGCAAGTTGAACTTCAGAGTCCATAATATTGGGACCAAAAGTGCAGTTAGACCAAATATTGTACAATATGAGGTCACACTGTTGGAGGTGAGTACATATAAGGTGGAGGATATACAGCACCTATTTCCTGTGGTAGTTGCACCTGGTGGTCACAGAAAGAAGGATTGTTCACAGAAGAATATAGTTGGACTTTCTTTATATTATATTATTTATGATTTCTATTATTAATATTATTTTTTTTTTTATGTTTATGGGATTCTATATTTTCATATTTTATATATTTTTATATTTTTTGGTTTATGAATTGAATCAATTTTTTTTTTCACTTTTAATTTATTTCACTTTAGTTTGATCACGATTGTGTAGCGCAGCACTGTTATAACATACACAAGTTTTATCACAGTGTTTGTTCTTGTAATACAGTCAGTGTGCATGTTCAACAGTAAAGTATTTATCCACAGAAAGTGAGCATATATGATTTCATACATTCTTGCTTGTGAAACCTTGTTTGATTGACACTTTTGTAATGATTGACACTTGCACTGATGAAGCAGCATTAGAGCTGCTATACAGGGGCGTATTTACCACAAGGCAAACAAGGCACTTGCCTAGGGCCGCAGTTTTCAGGGGGGCAGCAGCTCCCCCCAGAAGAAGGGATGAAAGAAGGGAAAGAATGGGAACCAGGTGGGATCAGAGAGAGGCTGCGGGCTGCTTGATGGTTTATGTAGAGCCCTATTCTTGTTCCTGGGGGTGTCCAGAGCTGCGAAGATGAGTGTCTCTCTATCGCCCGGGGAAGGAAGGGATAGTGGAAGCCTCTCCGGGCGAGTGTTGGTCAATGTCAGGCTCTCTCCACGGGAGGGGGAAGGGGGGGTGTTGGTCGGTGTCCCTGGGGGCAGACAATTTTTGTGTTGGCTAGGGCAGCACAAAACCTAAATACAACACTGCTGCTATACATGTGGAGCTTTTTACCAATGCAGCTCAAATTTCTCATATTAAAAAAGGACCTGCAGATGCACCATTTCCTCAGCTTTCCCAGGCCAATCATTTCTTACATAGAAGATACATTAACAAGCCTTTGTATTTTACTTAAATCTTAATTTCAGGACTATACAGACAATATATATGGATTTTCTATAATAGTTGCATTGGTCCATGTAAGTATGTGTCATACTTGTGGGATCCCGATGGAAGCTGGTAGAGTAACTACAGTGATCTACGCTATCATCCAGGTACCATGTCGAGCTGCTGCCCCACTGCTTATAGAACACAGGAGGTTGATCATCGCTTAGCATGGGCTATTCAGAGAACACTTTGCATTTTCTTATGAGTTCAAAGTGTACTCTGATTGGACAAGGTGGAGATTGTGATGCCATCACCCCATCTCATCCAGCCAGCAAACGCTTTACATTAATTGAGATAATACAGAGTCTTCCCTGAATGGCGCCTCCTGTGTTCACAATGCAGCAGGGCAACTGCGCGGCCCGGGACCGAGAAACTAGTGGAGATCCCTGTAGTAGTGGTGTCTCCTACAGTGATTTCCAGCTTCCACAGGGATACCACAGGTATGGTGCATAACTATGAAAAAATTGCCATACCTAAACTTCAGCTTTAGTAGTTCATATATTGATTTGTTACAGGTATTTATGTAGTTCAATTTACATAACACTTTACATACTGTACATTCACATAAGTCCCTGCCCTCAAGCTTCTCACATGCATATACATGCTAGGGCCAAATGAGACAGGAACCAACAACTAGCATGTCTTTGGAGTGTAGAAGAAAATCAGAGTACCCATAGGAAGAACATACTAACTTCATGAAGGTAGTGTCCTGATTGGGATTCAAACCAGTAATTCTTGTGCGGCAAGGCATACAGTAAGTACTAACCACTGAGACACACACATACATGAATACATTACATGTGTGTATGTATATTTGTTTAATTGCTTTTGGGCCTCACATGCAGCCTCATACCAGAAGGCTCTTATTGTTAAATTTGTACTGAGTTAGAGTTCACATGGGGACATGGAGGACAAGGGATCACAAGGAATGTTTGTGTACTGTTTCTGTGTTGCTGTGATTGATGGGAATTTGAGATGGTGGGAGCTGTCTTAAAGCAGAACTAAAGAGTGCCATACTTACCCTTCTTCTAAAGCTGGCCATACATTATACAATTTCTTTTAGACTTACCTTTAATTATGCAGTACAAGGGCCAGGCTAATCGTCCCCTTTCCTCGCCGGCATCAGCATCTTTTTCTGTGTGCCAATCTTTGGATGTCTTCATTGGCCGACATGGTATGACATCACCCCTGTGCATGTGTAGGAGCCCGTCATCCAAGCACACAGGGTTCAGGCTGGCACTGTAGCGAGTGACAGCAGAACTTTAGTTCTGCTTTAAAAACCGCTTGCCTTCCAGAGGATTTACCCCCCTTCCTGACCAGGCCATTTTTGCGTTACGACGCTGCTTTACTTTAACTGACAATTGCTCGGTCATGCAACGCTGCTCCCAAATTAAATGTACGTCCTTTTTACCCACAAATACAGCTTTCTTTCGGTGGTATTTGATCGCCTGTGTGTTTTTAATTTTTAAACAAAAAAAGACCGACAATTTTGAGAAAAAAAATATTTTTGACTTTTTGCTATTAAACATGTCCAATAAAATAATTTAAAAATCTAATTTCATCATAAATTTGAGGCAAAATGTATTCTACTACGTCTTTGCTAAAATAAAATCCTAATACCTGTAAATTAATTAGTTTATGTGAAAGTTATAGAGTATAGAAATGGCAGTATATATACTGGAATTTTTTCTTTTTTTTACTAGTAATGATGGCGATCAGCGACTTATAGCGGGACTGTAGGACTGTGGCGGGCATTCTGACACTAGGGGGAACTGACTTAAAGTCACTGACATCCTCAGTGACACCAATACAGTGATCAGTGCTAATAAAAAGCACTGACACTGTACTAATGACACTGGGCAGGAAGGGGTTAACATGAGAGGCGATCAAAGGGTTAACTGTGTGCTGTTTTACTCTAGGCTGTGCCTGTGCTTTTCACTGTAAGCACACTGCTTTGTATGGCTCCGCTATGCAGAGCCATACAAAGCAGTGTGTGCTGGAGCTGACAGGGGAGAGAACTGTATTGTTTGCATACAGTTCTCTCCCCTGTTGGTAATACTCGGCAATCTGCTGGTGCCGGTGAGTAATCATCGGCCGCGACCCGGGATTGACAGCCAAGGTCGCAAATGGCGGCGCAGGTAGGATGTGCGCGGCTCTCATGCACCCCCTACCCTGAAATGCAAAATCACATACTGTATATATGTGATTTTGCACACCCCTGCCATCCTGTAGCAGTATCTCTGCTATAGGGCAGCGGGAAAACATGATTCATAAGTACCGTACCTTTTTACATACATATGCTAAATTGTGGGAAATGTAAGGGATGAATTATAATGGAGGAAGTACTGTACGTGATTAACTTAATGTGGTTGTGAACCTCAGAAATGAAATATGAAAAAGTCATATCCCTTTCTAGTGTGTACTTGTCTCAATTAAGTGTCATTTCTGTCTGCTGCTTCGTTCCTCTGCTATCAACATGAGTCACTTCTGACAAATTTTCTTGACACCAGGAGAAAAATGGTGACAGCAGAGGAACCTCCAGCAGATTGACTACCTCAGCTCTGCTCCTGTGAGCTGTGTGGAGAGGTGTGTGTCTATTCCCTCCAATCAGTTCTCAGAGCTCCCCTCACTGAGCTCTTCAGTGTGTCAGCTCTCCGCCCCCTATTTAGTGAAATCTTAGGCAAGCTTTATAACTTCAGCACTTTGAATGGATGTAGAGGAGAGGAGACTGCAGATAAGCAGGTGTAACTTATATAGGAGGATTTGTTTCATCTCTGTGTATCACCTGAGGCCAGTCACTTCACTGGGTACATGTAAGGGTTTATAACCACTTTAACAAGAGGACTGCAGCCTTGTAAAAAATTGTATTTACTCGCCCTAATAAAATACTAAATAAATTGCATGCTAGCATCAGAGATCGTCCCTATCATTTAGCTTCCTTTAACAACTTAGGACAACACAGGTCAGAGTTTTGCGTTCTTCCAGGCTTGACATCCTTTGCAGCTCTTAGAATTCATAACAATTCAGAGCTGCATAAGAAGTCAATGCTGGAAGACCTCCCTCTGCCAGGTGCAGTGTTTGCAAGTATGAACAGGGAGCAGGTAGCTACATAATACCCATCAGCTGTCATTGATTGTGAGTTTATTTATTTATTTCAGGTACTTATATAGCACTGTCAATTTATGCAGCGCTTTACACACACACATATATATATATATATATATATTGTACATTCACATCAGTCCCTAACCCTCAAGGGGTGTACAATCTAAGGTCCCTAACTTACATTCATATATACACTACTACTAGAGCCAATTTAGACAGGATCCAATTAACCTACCAGCATGTCTTTGGAGTGTGGGAGGAAACCAGAGTACCTGGAGGAAACCCACGCAGGCACAGGGAGAACATGCAAACTCCAAGCAGGTGGTGCTGTGGCTGGGATTCGAACCAACGACCCTAGTGCTGCCAGGTGGAAGTGCTAACCATTTAGCCGCTTTGCTGCCCCACTGTTCCACAGTGATTGAACACAATTGTGCTGATTATGTTAGGAACCTCCTGCTCTACAGAGAAAAAGATTTGGGGGGCTTATTTCAGATGATTGCAACATGAGAAAAGAGTATGGCCAGGCAGCGGGAAAAGTAAATAGAATTCTAGGATGTATCTCTAGAGGGATCACCAGCAGGAGGAGGGGGTGCTGATTCCTTTATATAGATCAATAGTTATCACTAGAGGGATCACCAGCAGGAGGAAGGAGGTCCTAATACTTCCATATAGATATCACTAGAGGGATCAAGAGCAGCAGTAAGGAGGCCCTGATTCCTCTTTATAGATCTTTAGTTATCACAAGAGGGGTCACCAGCAGGAGGAAGGAGGTCCTGATTCCCCTATACAGATCTTAGTTAGACTTCATTTAAAATATTGTGTCCAGCTCTGGAGACTTTCCTTACAAAAATATATAAAACTAGAAAATCTACAATTTCTGGGGAAATTGTGTAAAGTGTTCTTGCAAGCAACCCTTACCAAGTGATTGATGAAATGTAAGCAGTGCACATAGCAAGCCTGATAGTGAGAAATGCATTTAAGCTTGTATTTTGAAGCTCACAGTCCAGCCTGGTGAGTCATCTGCCCCTTGAGTGACCTTTGGTTGCTATAGCAACTCACTCAGTCAGGAATGTTAGAAGTGCTGTTCTAAACACACTGCTGTAACTTGCCAACTTCACTGGCAATTGCCATCTTCAAACACTTGTAGTTTTAAAAGTATAAATGCTACAGTGAAGAGCTTGGTATCGTGACAATCACAAGAAGCAGACCTAAATTTTGATGTATAGTATGTCTCTGCAATATTAAAAATGAAGGCACAGTCGCAGTTAAAAAACGTCCCTTAACATTTCAGGTGGCTGTGAGTGAAGTTTCAATGAAAGTCAATGGGAGGGGTGAGTTGCAAACAAATGGTCATATTGTGAAAACTATCAGGAGTATGTCCTAGCCGTGAACATTTTTAGTGACAGCAGGGTTAGCTGAACATTTTGATATAAGATATGTGTAGGTGGGCTTGAAAATGACAGAGTAATGGCAGTTTACAAATCATGTTCTGATTTTTCCTTTGCACACTCTAGCTGTGCTCTGCTGCCACTCTAGATGCACCATTAATTCCTATGGGAAAATTTCACCACAAAAACCGCAATATTTCGTGAACCATTTGGCGAAACGTTCCACAAAGTAATAGCACACCAATCGGGAACAATCCGCACGTTTCGGTATATTACTTGTCTATGTAGTGTAAATGTAGGGTAGGGTGGTAAATATGGCTATAATAATAAGAATAAGAATATATATGTGAGAATACAATAAGTGTTCCTGCTATGCAAGAACACTTAATAAATTGAGTCCAGAGATGAGCAACAAGATTGCTGAAAGGTCTGGGGGATAAAACATATCAGGTGAGACTTTGGGAATTTGATTTATTATGTATGGTTTAGAGCAGTGGTGTCCAAACTGTGACCCGGGGGACAGATGTGGCTCTTTGGTTGCTCTTACCCAGCTTTTGAGGCATTATTCTTGTCACTGATACAGGGCACTATTCTAACTCTGATACCAACAGTGGGGCACTACTCCTTTCTCTGATACCAACAATGGAGCACTCCTCCTCCCTCTTTCACCAACAATGGGGCACTATTCCTTTCACTGACACCAATCATGGGGCACTATTCCTTCCACTGACACCAATCATGGGGTACTATTCCTTCCACTGACACCAATCATGAGGCACTATTCCTCCCACTCACACCACACATGATGGGACATTGTTTACTCCTGGGGGATTTTCTACTCTCACTGGCCACAGTCCAGCCCCCTGAATGTCTGAAGGACAGGAAACTGGACCTTTGTTTGGAAAATTTTGGGAACTCCTGGTATAGAGGATGGGAAGACATTATTGAAACCTTTAAAAACATAAAAGGTAGTGAGTAAGGTTCAGGAGGGCAGTATTTTCAATAGCTAAGTTCAAGAATATGACCTCAAACTAGCAGGAGGAAAGTTCAAAACTAAATTTTAGAAAGTATTATTTTACTAAAACAGAAGCTAATACTTGGAATACACTGCCAGCAGAAGTAATGAGTAAGTGAACAGGAAGGGCTCATGTACACTGCAGCTCATAAACTCACGTTTAGGAGCTTTTCTGCGTTTTTTTCAGCAGCCCCTGAACTCTCCCTAATGTTTTTCTATGTGTCCATATACACATCTTCGTTTACAGGCAGTTGAGTTTACAGTCATTTTTTTGAACGTACCAAACTTGCGTTCAGGAGCAGATTTTATCAGCGTTTCAAATGCTTGTAAACACGTGTAAACGCAGCTAACCGCATTTGCGTTTAGAAGCTTTTTTTTAACTGTTCCATATCCAAATGCTGTCCAGAGCCTTTTTTCATAATCAGTACACCAGCACAGTCAGTTCCAGGTTTTGCGTGAAGGAAAAAATGTTAGAACGTGCTGCATTATGCTCATGATGGGATCCATAGTGAATACAACCAGAAAAGACAGGTCATCTCAACACATACTGCTCTCTCTGATTCTGCTCTCTCTATTTCTCTTAAAATGTCTGAAATAGTTAATTTCTTACTGTTTTTCAGTGCAATCTGGGCAATTTGGAAGGTCTCCTAATTTTATCTTTAAAAAACGCTTCTAAACACAAAATGCACATAAATGCACATAAACGTGGTATGCAACGCGGCTAAACAGACGTTCTTTAACCTACATTTTCCAGCAGTCAGTTTCCATCATTCAGAAGTGTTTTCCAAATGTCCCATGTACATGGAACCTAAGTAGATTTAAACATGCTTGGGATCTATACTTAGACAACAAAGCTGGATAAAAGTTTGAAAAAAAAAATGGTCCAGACTTGATACTCTACTTGGTCTTTTTTAGGCCATCACTCTTCTATGTTTCTGTGTTTCTATCTTCATGGCAATTTCTTTGGTTTTGTACGTTTCTTTTTAGGGCCCTTTACATAGTTATGGCTTGTGAGTTAGCGCGTGTTATATCACGTAATAACGGGTATTACATTATGGCAGCCTATTAAAATCAATGTCTTCCGAAGCTCCAAAATGTCTAAAAAATCGGATGTTACAAAATTTTTGTAGTATCGCTCTATGATGCATTGCAGCATGTTATAAAGCATTTTTGTTACCTTAGTGCTTTGGGATGCTATTTAAAATGAATAGCTGTGTAATTCATTAACCCATGTAATGTGATTTGCCCCACATTGCAGCCACGCATGTTCCCACAATTCATTAATGTAAATCCAGTAGTAAATCGAATGCACTTACAAAAAATACAAATATTTGTACTTCAATGAAATAAGAGCTTTCTACATTCTTCTTTCAACTTTCATCGACCGGCAGTTTGTCTTGGAATTTAGTTTTTTCAACTTTTTTTTTCATTCTTTGTTGCATCTCGGTACTGCTGTTCTATTGCAGCCAGTCTTCATAAAGTTAGTGCGGGTCTCATTATGGTGGCAATGGAAGAACATGCCTGTGCACTGTGTCATCATGGCTGCTTGTAGATTCTGCTGGAAGGGCATGTGACATGGTGACACATTGGGAGAGAATTTGGATGAGGCAAGGACAGAGTGTTGTCACCCAATGACAGGAAGTAAGAAAACAAGATCCCTTCTGCCAGGATCACTGGGTA